AGGCAGGTTTGGTACCTCAGGGTTTGGTGCCTCAGGGTTTGGTACCGCAGGGCTTGCAGGGTTTGGTACCCCAGGGTTTGGTACCGCAGGGCTTGCAGGGTTTGGTACCTCAGGGTTTGGCACCGCAGGGCGGGCAGGCAGGGTTGGTACTTCAGGGTTTGGTACCGCAGGGTCTGGTACCTCAGGGTTTGGTACCGCAGGGCGGGCAGGCAGGTTTGGTACCGCAGGGTCTGGTACCTCAGGGTTTGGTACCGCGGGTTTTGGTACCTCGGGGTTGGTGCCTCAGGGTTGATACCTCAGGGCTCGTATCGCAGGGCAAGCAGGCAGGGTTGGTACTTCAGGGTCTGGTACCGCAGGGTCTGGTACCGCAGGGTTTGGCACCTCAGGGCAGGCAGAGTTTGGCACCTCAGGGTTTGGTACCTGAGGGCTGAGCTCCCACCCCAGCGCTGGGCTGCTGGCCCCGGGGGTCACCTCTGTGCTGAGGGCTCGGGCTGCCTCCCGCCTCCCTCCAGGGGCTGCCCCCGAGCCGTGTCCCTGCGGCCCAGTGCCTTCTTGCAGGTGGTTTTCATACACAGTAATGGCCTGTCAGGACTGGGGTGTTAACGGGCACCCCCAGCTTCATTTTATCAGGAACCTTTTAAAAAAAGTGTTAATTCGGGTAATAACAGCGTGCTGGTACCCTCAGGATGTATGTTGGAACTGTGCTTTGTGTGAACCCGCACACCTGTGGCCACCAGGAGCTCCAGCAAAGTATTTGTTAGTGATTTACCGACCTGTGGTAGCTTCTCAGTTGTTTGTTTGACGGTAAGAGTAAGTCTGCACCAGTGGCTAGTAAAGCAGTCTAATAATACAGATATCATGAGGATACAGCATTTTTGAAGCTTGCTTCCACTGGCTTTAGTTTTCTATTTCAGTTCTAGGTTTTGAGGGGCGACATGTTGGTCCTTCTGGTGAAGGTGCCTTTTAACATAGTCGGTGCCAGAGCATGCGGCCAAATTAATGTTGCCATATGGCATTTCTCACCCTTCCAGGACGTCACATTTGGTATAACCTGTGCCCCTGAGCCAAATGGAAGGTGTACATCCACTCAGCTCTCATGGTGCCCTTTGAGAGTGGCTGTACTGCATCCCTGCTGTCCTGTTATTGCCTTTGAACCCCGAAGGTAGGAGCTGCCTCTGCTGAAGAGGCCACGGGCTGAACTTCAGAACCTCTTCAGTGAGTGGAATTACAGCAGTAATGACACGCACTGTCAGTTTGTCTTATCTACAACCTGCCTCCCTGCCATGTCCTGCTGCTGATAATCTTCACAGCAAGGTGTCCCCTGCCCCTGCTGGCGACCGATGCAGTGAGATGAGGAGGGAGGTGTGTTGGATCCTCGGGGCTGTGCGTCTTCCTCGTTGATCACCTATCATAACATGGGGTGGGATCAGGCAGAAAAAAAGGCCTCACCTCAGTTTTATTGTAGTTGGATCAAGATGAGATGGGTGATGCACCATCTATATTGCAGGTGCAGCTCAAAGGGATTAGGTAAAGCTGGCACCACTACATCTAATGAACAAGGCCAAGATTTCCCTGCAGAGATACAACCACGGTTGATGAACTCATCTTAGAAACCGAGTTTTAAGCTCACAGCTCTCTCATTTTTGTAACTGTATCTTCACGTTTCATTCCCTTACAGATGTTGTATGTAGGCGTGCAGGCAGTGAAGGTGCTAAAGACACAGGGTCATGTGTCATTCTGCAGTGCTGCTCCCTGTGGTGTCTTTGTTGGGAAGTCAGATGTTTGGATGTGTGTAGTTGCTAATAGCACTGGTAAGGAATGTCACAGACAATCTGTATGCCAGCGTCTGGGAGAACTTGAAGCATGTGTGAGGAGACCAGTGTGTCTTCCACCTTCTCCATTCCTTCTCTGCTTTTCCCTTCAATAGTCACTCTTCCTGCTGTTTTCAGTTTTTGGCATTTCTTACCCATTGAACCTTCAGCATTTTGGAAGCCTAAAGCTATAAAAAACCCCAACATCATAAAGCTATAAAACCATGCAAAACAAACAGAAAATTATGCCTTTTTGTCGGGTCACCTCTGTTGCAATGCATACAACATGGCAAGCATGCCCTGAAGGTTGTTCCTGGCTGGTGTTAGGATCCGAGCTGTTTACTGATTCAAGCTTAGAGCCTTCCTTGTTCTGCCCAGCTTCCTTCTGCATGTCACTGCTGTCCTCTATGCTCAGCTTCCCTTCTGTCCCCACGTACGAACACACAGAGGGCTTGAAGGTATCTGAAGTAATTTTTTTTGTTACTATTTTTTTGGTTAAAGTTGCCTTATGTTACCTCCCTCCTGGGTTTTCCCTCCATTTTCCCTTTGCTCCCTCAGATTGTTACCACTTGGCAGAGGAGGGGCTCTGGCAGTCTCCCTGCATGCACACATGGACA